CATTATACATATATACATTATATGTATATATACATTATATAATGTATATATACAATTATATATGTACATCATAATGTATACACATATGTGATTATATACAGTATATATAATTATATATGTATATATACATTATATACATTATATATGTTTATATATACAGTATATGTACATTACATATATTATATCTTATATATACAATGTATATATAATATATATGATGTATATATACACTATAGACAGAGCACCAACTGGACACCAAATGAACACCTCCAGTTCTGGGAATGTGTTACACTTAATTGAATTTTTGGCCGAAGGGGGACATGGTCACTATCAAACATCACAAGCTATTGCTAAGGCTATTAGTTGCTCTCCACAAACTGATGGTAAGGCCCTATTGCTGAAGACACCTACACAACTCATTGAACATGGAGAAATCAAGTTGGTGCCCACAAAGAACCTTCATTTCTACAGACTATTGATCATGGACCTGAACATGGTATTTGCATGCTATCAGGGAAGAAAGGTGTGGGATGCTTTGATGTGAATTGAGTATCCAAGGTGCTTGAGATCTCAGAAATGCTAACGACTTGGCTTGCTAGGGTCACTTAGCAGACTTAGATACGTGGTTATACTTGGCTCTCGTGAAATAGTGTAGTCCATGGATATATTTACACCACTGGAAGTGCTTAGGGCCTCCCGTTTGCTGCAGCCTTGCAAAGTGTTTGAAGTGTCTGGAGCATTTGGGTGGGCTTGGAGTCTCTGGTGTGCTCTGGTTCTATATATTACCACAGGTTCTGGAGGGGAGTTGTAAGAGGAACCTCACCAATTGTTGGCACCTTGCTTGAGCCCTCTCAGTTGTTAAGGCATGCCAGGTGCTAGGGCCCTTCAGGAGTTCTGGATCTATGATGAATTAAAGCCCTTTATAGGTGTTCAGGCTTACATAAGTCCTCACATACAGTGAAGTACTTGAATCCTACTTCAGGCTGGGGTCCTGCCAGGTGACTTCAACCACGTAGTAGTTTAGGGTTCCCTAAGTGCTTGGTCTTTATAAAGCTGTGGGAATCTCTCAAGATGGTTGAACCCAAAAAAGAAGTTCTCAATCCTTGTGAGTTAGTCAGTGCCCACATGCTAGGACCACACATTGTGTTCCTGAGGGCGTTGGAGGGGGAACTATTTATTTTAAATAGAGACTCAGTAGCTCCAGTTTGTTTGATATCTCCAAGATACCTGAGCCAGTGGAGGCCCTAAAACTCCCAGAAGTCTCTGGGCCACATGAAGCCAACAGAACCTCTATATTGTTGAAATATATAAGGGTGATTTTCCATGATTTTCAATAAAGCCTATTACTTTATTCTCATAGCTTATATCCAATCCCAGGTTGGGGAAAGGGAATATAACTCACACACTCAGGTCAGGGGTGAGTGTGTAGAGGTCACACCAGACTGAAACAGTGGAACAGTGCAGCACGGGGTACAATAAAGCAGCCTCAGCAACTTGTGGCTTTGAGAGACCAAAGAATTAAGAACTAGGTTTTGGGAGTACTGAGTTAAAAAATTTAAAACCTATCAGGCCAGTTGACCTTGCTGCTTCTAGGCAGATCCAGCCAACTGCAGGGAGGAGCTGACCTTGCTGTTCATTCTGTTGCCTGGAAACCTGCCTGGATGGCCTTGCTCTTGGAGATAGCACAGACTGAGCTAATCAGCCCCTCTTCCCTAGCAGCAGTCTATCAGTCCAGGACAGTACTGAAGCCCAAGGCCAGCCATTTCCCCTCAGTCCCCCGCCCCCAGGCAAAAGAGAACAAGGAAAGCTGGAACCATTCATGGTCCTGGCACTTTCCCACACAAACAGTTTCGAAATGTAGCATTCCCTTTTTCTGTATTAACCAATAGAAGCTTTCCAGGCTAGAATACCATGCTTTGGGCGCACTGGGAGGGACTGGGACCTATAAATCACCCACAATCCAGAGCTTGGGGTTCTCAGCTGGATGCCAATGCCTTAGCGTCTGCAAGAGTCCAGCCCAGGCTGTGAATAAAGATCCTCGTATGTTTTGCCCTGGACTTGACTCCTGGTGGTCTTTTGGGGATCTCTTGAATCAGGTACAACATCTTGAGGGCTCATCCGCTGGGGTCCTCAATACCCCTGGGGCTCCCAGAACCAGAGGATCAGAACACCAGGTAAGTGTTTTTGTCTTGGCCAAGTTCTATGTCTTTGTTCTGCTATCCTGTGTCTTTGTTCTGTTATTCTGGGTGTGAGATCTTAAGGCATTGGCAATGGTGGCCAAGGAGCCACTGGTAGTATTCTGGCTGATGAGCTGAAAGGTTACAGTCACATGAATCTGGGAGATGTCCCAGGTCCTAGTGAGGACGGAGAGCCTCACTAGTGGGACAATAGGTCCCAAGTCTGTTTGCTAGGCCTAGAAGAAAGTGGGTTGCCCCCACAGAGACAGGAAGTGCTACCAATGTACTGGATTGGATTTTTGCCTGCTTGACTCATGGAATCTATTGTTTGGCTTTGTGTTTGTCTGTCTGGTGTCTATGTTGACTGTTCTCATTCATTTGGACGAGACTCAGATATTATGGGACAGACTTCTTCTAACTCCTTAGACTTAACTCTTGCCCATTTCTGTGAGGCCCCAGTCTGGCAGAGCTCTGCCACTGCTTTGGTCTTTGATCTGGCACATGTCTTCTCGGAGTTCAGGTTATTTGTGAATGCAGCCTACCGCACAGAGAGACAAGCAGCTCTTAAAGCAACAACAGCAGCTTCTGAGATATGAAATTGGATTCAACAGGTAACAAGATTTTCCTCCCCCGAAATTACTGCTAAAAGAAGTAAAAAAAAAAAAAAAGTCGTATCTGTTTATTTTGAATATATAAGTTTACTATTTACTATGTTTTATATGTCTTGGTTATAGATTATTTGTTATTGGGTATGTTAGAAAAATCTATAACATCTGTACCTAAAGTTAACTTAAACTTGTACCTTAGGGTTGGAAGCATTCTGAACAAGTGGCATGAGCCCACTGAAAAACAAGTCTTCAAAGGTAATACAAATTGAGATAAGATTTTACATAATTTCTGCCCTTTCATGAAAACCATGTTTATAAAAACAAAAATCAGGTTTGAAACTCTGTTTATATGAGATAGTAGAGCTACACCTCCATGTATTTGTATAAAAGTACTTTTCTTGCTAGCATCCAAAGTTTATAACATCAAAATAATACACTTGGTATTGATTTTAGAGACAATGAATTGTTTAAACTGATAACATTTGGTTTTGAATTCTAAAAACTATGGTTATGCTCTATGACTTCACTCTGGGTATTTTAATACTGCAAAAATAGGTTTTGGAGAATGTTTAAATGTTTAAGGCTATAAAACATTTTTAAAGTTTATCAGGTATTTTAAAATAATGACCTTGGAAAAGAACTTGGCAAAGAACTTAGAAAATTTTATCAACCCTTTGGGGGAAGTCAAAAGACCTTGGTATTTATTTTATTAATTTTACCAAATGAAACCAAGCCATACTGTTTGAACCAATTAAGAAAACTTCAGTTTTTACAATGTATCATGGCAGGATGGTAAAACCCCATGAAATAACATAGTAAAAAAATGATAAAAAGTATTTTTGATAGAAGTTTTTATATTGTCTGAAAAGCAAGAGAGAGAACTGGGATAATAAAAAAAAAAGAAAAGGAAAAAATAGTTTGTTTAAAATAAAAATGTCTGTCTAAACCAGAGAAACAGAGCTAGGATACCCCTAACCTGAAGGTATATAAAATGTTATGAAAGGTCAGAGTATGTATAGAAAGCCAGAGAGCATATGAACTGTATTTGCTTTGGTTTCTCATACCTGCAAATATGATTTGAAAAATATGATTTCAATATATAAAATATAGTGAAATTTTAGATTAGATTAATTCTGGTTGGTTTTCTTCATTTAAAAGGCTGGTGATTCTTCAATGCAAAATATTAGCTTATGCTCTTTAAAAGGGGAAGAGGACTGCAGCTCCATGTTAGCCCAGGGTTATACTGACGATCAATTCAAGTCATTGTTAACTATTATATGAAATATATGCCTGGCTGCCAGTTCCTAAATAAATGATTTAATGCTGTTTCTTTCTGTCCTATAGATTTGGTATGGCCAGAATAGTCCAAGCACAGTTTTAAAATTGTTATATACTATTCTGTATAGTTGGTTCTAAAACTTACTTGATTACAATGTTAGAACTTGGTTATTGGAAACTATAAATGCTCCACAGTGCTATACCATGGGAAAAGGCAACACCAGTAGTGACACCTAATGGCTATGTTTTTAAATTGCCTGCCACGGCCTGTAACAACACATGGTTGTCCACCATGTTGGTTCAGAAATAAAGAGGATGGAGCCATGGTTTTACCGCCATCTTTGTTGAGGGCTGCCAGCTATGTTCAGGTCTCTGTTTAATGTTAAGTAAAACTTTTGTCCTTTAAACTTTTGCTGTTTGGTCTTAACAATATGATATAGTAGAATCAGCAAGATTTTCCAGCCCCCCTATGAACTCTATGATTAAAGTTTTGCTTTGATTTTAGTTCAGAAATATATTTAAAGTTATGCTAATGACTGCAGTTGGTTACAAGTTTGAGCTTTACATAGTCTTTTGTTTATGTTTTCAAGGTGAAGCCTAGGATGGGTAACAAAATAGATATGGTTCTAAAACACTTATCTAAGGAATATGCCAGAATTAGAGATTATAGCATTCTGTTTTGCAGGATGCAGTTTAGAGCAAATAACTAAAGACAGACAAAGACTAACTCAGATATGCTGGCCCTCAAACTTGTCAGAGATCTGATGAATATGGCATCTAATGTATGTAAGTTTTATTATGACAAAGAGTGCCAAAACCCTAGTAACAGCTCCCCATGGTCTCCGAGAAGATTTGGATGACAAATGACTTCAACTCTGGATTATGGTATGCTAACCACTGTTCAAGACTGCCCCAACTGGCCCACTGCTAGGGCCCAGCCTAAGCTGTGGACACCTGGAAAGTCATTGTTTCATGGTGCTGAAGGTGAGATAAGGCCAATCTCTCATGTTCTTTTTTCCACAGAAACAGTCTCCTATCTTCTGTGGATGGCCGGACTGCTTCTGCTTAAAAGCTGTGAGACCACAGGAGCCAGGGACAGCTAGCTGCCTAGGTGGTAGACTGACTAGTCACCTCTGTCATTTTGATTGATACATAGATTCATTTAGATTATAATTTATCCTTCTCAGGTCTCTGGTTACATTGATGGTTAAGCTAAGCTAATGATAGCTTTGCAATTAAATAGCAGACAGTTAGTTCATTGGTCTATTTATTAGCTAGTTAGAAATACTAAGTACTAGATCGCTTATTTAGAAAAGCAAAGAGGTTTGCCTTGCTCACAGGCTTCATGTTAATTGCCTTGTCTTATAATGAATAACTGGATAGAAAAAAATATGAAGTTTAGTTTATGTAAGGTCTGAGGATATAAAAGTTTAAGTTATGAGGATCTAAAAATTGTTTGAGGATCTAGGAAAATGGTTCAAGATTAATTAATAAAAGTTATTAAAAAGACTCTCTAAGAAAATTGATAAAAGATAGGAGGGTTTAAATAGATATTTTAAAGTTGGTAAATGCAAATTATAAAATGTTTATGAGTCTGAGAAAATATTTTAAGGTATATGAATACAAATTATAATAGTGTAAAAATAATAATTAAAAATGGAAGATATTTCAGATTTCTTCCCCCTTCTATGCTATTGTTATGCTTACGTTATAAGATTTTCGAAGTTCTGAATTACAACATTTATCAATAGAATTCTAATAAGCTGATAGAGTACTGACTGCTTATTATCTAGTCACAAGCTCAAGATTTTAATTAACCTTTGGTTGTCTTCTGGAGATAGACTTAAAGGAGCTTCCATAAAGCCATAGCTTTTACTAGATCTTAATGGCATGAATCTACTGCTGTCTTGTAGACACTTGTTACCTGCTTTTTCTAAAGTATGGATCTCAATACAATAGTGATACTAATATACTTCCTTTTGTAAACTAAAATGCATATGAGTTTCAGGAAATCAAAGTGTCAGAAGACCTGGATCTGCCATTCGTCAAACAGACCCCAGTTCAATTTTTCCCTTGGTCTTGGGATTCCTCCCTTTCCCCATTTACTAGACAAAATTTAACTTCTGTCTTTAGTCTGAATTTGTCTTAGCAGATTTTTACCTGGTTGACAGACTCCGTTCAGGGATCAGCTATGGATTGCAAGCTGAGATCTGGACTTGCCAAAAACTGAAGTAAACCAGTCCAGCCAATGTGCTAGATTTCTGTCTCTTCAACTTGATCACTTATTAGATGGTGCCCTGTTGCCTAGCTTTTGACTAGCCTTTAAGCCTTCCTGTGTCCCCAATATCTCCACCCCAAAGTTAGTCTTAAGAAGTTACAGAAGAAGAGAAATTCATGAGCCTTTATCCTATCTAACAGGCTGAAATGCTAAGTCAAAAAGGGCTCCCTGACATTAGCTATTATCTTGGGGACCTGCTTAGCTGGAGCAGGAACTGATATTGCAGCACTGGATGTACAAAGCCAGAATTATAACAGCTTAAAGGCAGATATTAATAAAGATATTCAATGCCTTGAGAACTCAATCACCCACTTAGAAAAGAATTGATTTCCTGGCAGAAATAGTGTTGCAAAACAGAAGGGTCTTGGATCTGTTGTTTTTACAGCAGGGTGGGGTATGTGCAGCCCTCAAAGAAGAATGTTGTTTTTATACTGACCACTCAAGAATAGACAGAGAATCCTTGGCTAAGGTTAGAGAAAACCTGGCTAAATGTGAAAAAGAGTACAAAGCAAACCAAAGTTTTGTATGTTTCAGGAAACACTTCAAGGAACTTGTCTGAGGTTAGGGAAATGAGAGACCAAAGAATTAAGAACTAGGTTTTGGGGTGCTGAGCTAAAAAGTTTAAAACATGTCAGGCCAGTTGACCTTCCTGCTTCTAGGCAGATCCAGCCAATCCCAGGGAAGAGCTGACCTTGCTGCTCATTAGAGGTTCTGTTGCCAGGAAACATGCCTGGGTGGCCTTGCTCTTGGAGATAGCACAGACTGAGCTAATCAGCCCCTCTTCCCTAGCAGCAGTCTATCAGTCCAGGATAGGACTGAAGCCCAAAGCCAGCCATTTCCCCTCATACCATCCCCCCAGGCAAAAGAGAACAATGAAACCTGGAACCATTCATGGTCCTGACACTTTTCCATAGCAAACAGTTTTGAAATGTAACATTCCCTTTTTCTGTATTAACCAATAGAAGCTTTCCAGGCTGGAATCCCATGCTTCGGGCACTCTGGGAGGGACTGGGACTTATAAATCACCCACAGTCCAAAGCCCGGGGCTCTCAGCTGGATGCCAATACCTTAGCATCTGCTGAAGTCCAATTCAGGCTGTGAATAAAGATCCTCGTGTGTTTTGCACTGGACTTGACTCCTGGTGGTCTTTTGGGAATCTGGCGAATCCAGCACAACTGCTTTAGCAGTGATATTTCTACCAAGGTTCTACCAGCACTCTCCCTCCCTCACTATGCCAGACCAGCTGAGGTTGCCACAGCTGCCATCTCTACAGTAGATACAAACAAGGTCTCTGCATCCATAAAATGTCACCTGCATCCCACAAGCAACAGTTTTTCAGCTAGCTGCACTTGCCTTGAGCTCTCCTGACTTCCTTCCTGGCAGCCTACGTCCTACCACTCTGCTGGGAAGAAATAGCCTGGCCCTTCTTCTGCACTGCAGATCTGGC